GAAGGAATTGAAACGGAGATCTATAGGCTTGGATTGAGATCCGGTGAAGCAAATCATTGATGCTCCGGAGGAGTGGTGAACATAAAGACTTGCGGTAAGAATTTTTTCATATTCTCTAATTTTGGTCAATTTCATTTTTATTTGCTAAATGATGTGTTAGTTATGATTTTGTAGGTGATGCTCGTTGCGAAGAAATTTAAACTTTTTGAACTTGAGCCTGAGTTGGAGGAGTTGGACTGGATGTTTGGGAGCCGACCTATTAGGTAATTGAACAAATTAGAGGATATGAAAAAAATTCTTACTGCAAGAGAACTTGACAGTCGACCTATTAGGTAATTCAACCGAAGTACGCAGCCTGAACCTCCTTGAAGTTGTCTATCTGCTGCTTTAAGCGTCCGCGGGTAGAGAGTAAAAAGAAAGGTGGAGCTGCTTTCACTAGAAATCAGATGTCATAGCTGGTAGCTTCTTTCAACGTTGAACCGCGTACAATACGGGCACATTCGATTGAGCATGTCATGCAAATTCTGATTGCAGATAGGGAAATTTCTAAGGATTTGCCTCTATACTTATTTGCGGTAGAGTTGCTTGAAAATCCCACCCACAGAGATTTTTTCATCAAGATTCACCAAAATAAATGGTTGGCGTATCTACGAAATTTTTATGATCGGAGGGACATTTGAGACACTTTTTTTATTTGCTCTGGTTTGAACACATTTATTTTTCTATTTTATTATGTTATGGTTTGGTTCTTTTAACTGTTTGGAACTTTGCTGAATAATATTAATATCATAATTGATTGGGCCACAATTTGTTCATAATTTATTAAATTTTTTTTGTGTAAGCTAGTACGACATACACCTACATGGATTCAACTAAAGAAAGACAGAGAAGGAGGACTGCAACAATCTACTTGATCCACGAATATTATAACATGTACATTAATAACTCTCCATGCTTGACATCGTCATATATTGTGGACAAATGAGTTGAGGCTTGTTGGACACCCAACGAAATTCAACATATTTTGCATGAGACACGAGATATTTAATGATCTTTTGACAGAACTTAACAGATTTCATGGACTTCATGGGTCATTGAGGACGATTCCACGAGAGGTTTTGGAGATAACCCTCTACATTTTATCACAGAATGAGTCAATGCGAGTAGCAATTGAATGATTTCAACACTTTGAGAGGACTAGTAGATACTTCTCGGTGGGTTTGAATGCACTCATGAACTTTTCTACGCAAGTCATCAAACCAACAAATTTTAAGTTCGAATGTACTCCTACGGAGATTCAATTGATGCACGATACATGCCGTTCTTTAAGGTAACATTTCTAATTCATTGCATTCAATTTTAGATATGCATGCCGCATATTAAAAGCTCATTCTTATTTGAGTAGGATTACATCAGAGCAATTGATGGAACCTACGTTGATGCACAAGTTCTAAATAATGAGAAGATCGCATTTGTCGGACGTTGCGGGGCCTCTATGCAGAATGTGATAGCTGTTTGTGACTTTAACATATGGTTTGCTTTTTGTCATAGTATAATTTTCAAGGCTACAACGCAGAATATCCACTACAACTTTTCACATTCTTCTCAAGGCATTTCACTTTAACCTTCATACTAACTATACAATATATTTCAGACAAATATTATTTGGTGGATGCTGGATAACCGTTGTACTGAGGATATCTCAAGCCTTTTCTTGATACGAGATATCACATACCTGATATTGAGCGAGTCAGCAATGTTACACGCGACAGAAACGAGTTTTTTTTATAAAAGACATTTCTTCTTACGCGGCGTCATCGCGAGAATTTTCGGTGTTTAGAAGAAGAAATGAGTTATACTCTGCGATATGTCATCTTACTCATTTACCAAACAAATCAAGATTGTGATTGTCACGATGACCCTGCATAATTATATTTGGCGGCATCTTTCCTGCAACAACATTGACTTTCGTAGGGTCGAAGAAGATTAGAAGCATGTATCTGCGGAAGCATTTAAGTACCACCTCGGACATTCCCTGTCACAAGTTGAGAATAATCCTTCCATTACCTGTACTAAAGAGGGGGAGGGTGCACGCAAAATGAAGGAGTTAAGGGCACAAATCCAAGTATGTGTAAATTATTTAGTACTATGTGTAATTTATTTCTTTACTGATGCATTAGTAGGAGGTTGATTGGACTATTTGTAAATTATTTAGTACTATGTGTAATTTATTTCTTTTGTCAAAATATTTTTAACATTCATATTGGATAGTGAGCATTCATTGATATATTTCTTTTATTCAAAGATAATTGTACTTTATATTTTATATTGTTGGTTTGAAATTTTTACGTTATTCGTAATTGTAATTTTTTAGTTACTTCTTTTAATAAATTTAATTCCTGTCATCACTAATGTATTGTCTTTTGTAGCATTTACAAAAGATGAGCTCAATGATTTCAGGGACATCCCGACGATTGCTTTGTCACTGCGGACTACAGACTTCCCTACCGATGTTACGTCGGGTTCGTAGCTACGAGAGAAAGTTCTGCAGGTGCTCACGAAGCATCACAAAAGTGTGACTTCTTCCGGTTGGCAGACATTCTAGTAGATTCCACTGCCGATGATGATTTGGAATGGATACCATCACTGGAGGACAGTGTAGCACAGGAATTACACTTTCTGCATGTTAAAAATGATATAATCATTATATTAATTGTAATTTTAATAGTTTTTGAATTTTTTTTTACACTCTTGATACTCACTATTAAGTGAGGTGTGTATCCAAATTTTTGTACTGTTTTGAAGTAAATTTTTTGCTTTGAATTATAAAATATATGGCTATGACAGTTATATTACAAACAACATTACTTAACAGGGGCAGAAAAGTCATTTGTCCAAAAATAACTGTCACACATATATTTTCAAACAGCTGAAACAAACAACCGACCAACTTCCCAGCATCAACTTTCTGTGACCTGTAGCTGATAAGGTGCAGCTGCCCCAAACAGACTCATAATCTTGAGTTCCATAATAAAATTTAATGCAGGACCTTTATAGATTTACTGTTAATAGGTTTAGGTGATTGTTGAATGCAACATGCATAGGGGTCTTCGGCTTTATTCCAACTCAAGCGATAACTAAAGGGCACTCTTTCTTAGTTTCTTAAGAAAGAGTACGCTTTCCAACCCAGACTGTCCCTTAGAAGATTGGACCGAGAGTAAGAGGAAGGGTTGAGGAGTTCTTTACCATTTTTGCAAGAAAGTAAGTTTTCAATCTTAAACATTTTTTAATACTTTTGATGAAAGTAGAAAATTGTTAAAAGTTCTATTTCGATGCATGATTTTGACTTTCAAATAGAATTAATGACTACAAAAAGTAGGCTCATGAAATACATACATGCAATTGAAACTTTGTTAGAAAATAAACAAAATTATAGTAGGTATGAATATAATTTTTTACCCATTTAACCCACAAAATAAAAGAAGAAGAAGTTGCAAGGCCCTTTTTCTTCTAATCGGTGGTTATATATTGGTAATATTTCTTTTGGGAAATTTACAACAGTAGCATACAATTCTTATGTATATACATCTCTCTCCTATACTTTCATATTTACATACAAAGCACTTTGGTATTTTAAACTTATCCATGAAAAGGTGTATTTCACTTTTAAAAAGTGATAATAGTGCTAAGTTTGATGTGATATTAAATATTTGAGTGCTGCGTGTTACGCGGGGCTCTAAGGGGAGCAAGCCGACTGAACTGGCTGGCAACAATTCCCACAAGGAACGATCGGTCCAGTGGATCGGGCGGGATTTGTACGGGGCGGAACTTCTGCCTTTCCTATTTCCTTCCTTACGTGGTTTTCTCCATATCGAAAGTCTCTAATGACTATTTTCTGGATTATTCCTACAGCCCTACCCCTTTCCTTTTTTGTGGTAGTTTTCTTTCCTATTTCTTTATTTTTCTTCTCTATATGGGAGTTTATAAATTACTGTTTTCTTGTTGTAGAGTTCAGTTTTTGCTTGTATTTTGTTTCAAAATTCTTCTTGGAGTGTTCTCCTCTCCTTGTTGGGCTTTGTCCGACAACAGGTAGTGCTTCCGCTCTATCCTACTCCGAAGTGGTGTTGTATCCTTCTCAATCTTCTCTCCTGCACCCCGCGCAATCATACTTCCCCCATCCACCCCCCCCCCCTTATACTCAATGCTACCTCCAGCTCTGCCGCACCTTCCCAGCCTTCTCCCCTTGCTGTCCAGCCCTTTCCTTTCCACTTTTCCTAGCAGCCAGCTTCCCTGCCACATGCAGTCACCCTGCAGTCACCTTCCCTTGACTGTAACCTGCTGTCGAGCTCTCCCCACTGTGCCTCTGCACCCGGTCAGCCCACCTACAGCCAGCCTCCCTGCTGTCTGGCTCATTCCCCCATCAACCAGCGCCCTTTTCCATTCCTCCCTGCAGTTTTTCCTGCCGCCCCAACTCTCCCAATCCCCAAACCAGCCAACAACCACCATTCCAGCCTACCCAACAGCTGTCAACCTTCTCCTTTACACCTTGCCACCTTACTGACGCTACCACCGCCCTTGGTTCTTCCCTTCCGATACTAGCCAGAGAGTGATTTGTTATTGTATTTCCTTTTTCCATTTGTGTTGTGCTGTAACCCTAATTTAGTGCTAATAAAAGTTGCTTTGCATTTCCCCTAATTTCCTAACTAGTTTCGGTATCAATGTGTACATATGAAAGTTTAAATGTGAGATATGTAATTACATAAAAATTGTGTTTTATGTATTTAAATGCATTTTTGTTTTTGGGTTTCTATTAAGTTTGATTTTTAATCATAGTTCTTCTTTTTACTTTTCAAAACTTTAGGTGGGTTTTTAGCTTTATATTTATCACTATTTCTTAGAAACAGAATTTAGCATGCAAAGTGCTGTAATATTAATATTCTCCGCATCATCGTCATAAAGAATCATGCTTGATCTTTCATTTTCTTTTGTTTAAATTGTAGGTTGCCCTAGATCTTACAGAAGATGAAATGTATCAAATTCAAAAAATAGAAGATTCAGGCAGGTATGTTGTAGTTTCATTGAAATGGATTTTTATTGATTTATCCTGCACATTAATGGTGTTACTGTTGTGGACATTTTCTCTTTATTTTGTTGATGCAGTTAGATTTATAGGCTTTATTTTTTGGCAACCTGTAATAGAAGAACTAATTGATCACATGGTTTGTTACCTTGACATTAATTATATGGGAAATTTACATACATACCACACCATTCTTATGAATTTACATATCCAACACCCAAAGTTTGATATTTACTGATATTTACACGTATAACACCTTGTCGTCATCAAATTGTGCATGAGCAGTATTTCACTTTTAAATAGGCAGTGAGGTTGGTGTTTTTGATGTGTTGTTAAAGATTTGGTGGTATGAATGTAAATCTGAATGTTTAGGTGCTAGATATGTAAATACATAGGAATTGTGTGGAATGTATGTAAATGCCCCTAATTATACTTAACTATTAGCCTTCATCTGAATTACTCGAATAAATTGCTTGGAATATCTGCACTGATTCTTACTATTTTTATTCTACTGTTTATCCATTATTTTTTTTTTTCAATTGATGTGTTCGTTAAAACACCTGCAATTTTTTGGTCATGATATACTGCATGAGAAAGACTGTCGCTGTTTTGTTTGATTCAAGGAAGATTTACATACATGCCAACTAATTCCTATTTATTTACATAGCTAATACCTAAACATCAATTTTTACTTACATACCACCTTACCTATTTAAGGCTTTGTTGTTGTTGTATGTCACCTTACCTATCCATGAAGAGGTGTATTTTACTTTTTAGAAGTTAAAAATGGTGGTATTTTAATTTGATATGAAAGATTTGGGTGATATAAATTTAAAGAGCAAAGTTTAGGTGTTAGAAATGTAAATACATAGGAATTAGTTGGTATGTATGCAAATACCCCTTGATTTATATAGGTACTTATAGCTCATTTGCTGCATTGAACTTAACAAGAAGATGCGATAATTCATGGATAAATACACTTATTAACATGCATTCAAAATAAATGCTTGTGTTTTGTTCAAAAGCCACCAGCTACCTTTCTAACGTCAATTGTTTTGATGTGGTTCCTATTCGTGATCTAAATTATGAGATTATCATTTCATGTTTATTTATTCTTCAAATGTTGAATTTTCTACCGAACATTTTCTCTCGTGAGCATGCTTTGTTATTTTTTAATTTCATTTTTTTTGTTTTTTTCTTAATAGGCAGTTACTCATGTTTTTGAATGCCTTTTCTAGCTATTTTTTATGCTTGAAGATAAATTATCATGTTTGAAAACATATTTCTATTTGATTGAAAATAACAACAAAATAGAAAAGTGAACAAAGCAAACACTGTAAAATATTTCATAATTTATTCATGCTTAGGGGTCTGTTTTTATGTTTTATTTTTTCTTTTGTTTTGGAAAACTATGTTTGACTTGTATATTATTTATATGTTTTTATTTTTTCTTTTAAAAACAAATTCATTTGTTTTTAAAAATACTCAAAACACATAAAAAATGTTTTTGAGTATTTTCAAAAACATTTACCTCAATCAAGTATATTTTAATTTAAATCAAAACATAAAAAAAATAACATACAAGTAGATCCCACGGAGTTTATAGAATTGTCAATTTAATCCTCTACTATTTTAGTGATAGAGTTTATTGAATTGTCAATTTAGTCCCCTACTATTTTAGTCTTGAGTTTATAGAATTATCAATTTAGTCCCCATACTTTCTTAATATAGGCTGAAATATATCCCACAAAGGACTATTTCTACTCTCATTTAAAGAGTATTGGGACTAATTGGACACTTTTATAGACTCTGAGACTAAAATGACCTCATTAAACAAACAAAACTATTTTGACTTCTTACTCATTATTTATGTTTGTCATGGCCTTACAAATTGAAATATTGAGCAGATTGAAATTTTGTTTACCTTTTGGAAAGGTTAAAACACACATAGAAAACCATGATTGGAATGCTGCCGATGAAATTTTACTTCTGAGGGAAACCGTGGTCTCGACAAAGCCAGCAATGATTTGTGGTTTCATTCCCAAGCAGCTTTTTCTTTATCATGAAGCATGGACTTTTTTTTTTAATTAGCCTCAAAGACGGTTTGCCTGTTTGGCATGCACATTTTTTTTTTAATTGCCCGCTTGACATCAATTTTGTTTCCTGTTTTGTTTTTAAAAATATGTTGATTGATATGATTTTTTATATGCTTTTGTTTTTTGTTTTAAAAAAACAAATGAACTTGTGTTTTTAAAAGCAACTAGTTCAATCAAATATTTTTTACTTTAAATTAAAATATAAAAAAATAATTGAAAAAGAAGATCCCAAATAGCCTTAAATTTCAGCATTTTTTTTGTTTTCACTCGATTCATTGAAATTATCACATCCATGTATTAGTTCATATGGTTGCTTTTAATATTTTAGATATTAGACTCAGTATGTTTTTTCTTTGATTTTTAATAGAACTTTATCAGCAGGATGTCTCACAACTCTTAAATAAACCTTTTTTTTGGTTCTAGTAATGACTTTGATGAAAACTATGATCAAAATATGTTTTCTTTTTGGGCCATTTAAATACATATCACCCAATTCATATGTATTTACATATTAAACACTGAAACTTTACTTCTTACATTGATACTGCCCAAAATTTTCATATCACATAAAAAGTACCAACATTTTAACTTTTTAAATGTGAAACACACCTTTTCATGCATAGGTAAGATGGTATTTTTGTAAAATTTGAAATTTACGTATGTAAATGCATAGGAATGGAATGGTATGTATGTAAGTCTTCCCCCTTTTTTTAGCAGCTTTGTGCATTGTCCTATTGTTAGCTGTGGTGCCCGTTTGAGTTGTTTGGAGGACTTTGAAGATCATTATCATGCTAGACATATGTCGGCTTGTGCAATTTGCTCAAGGGTGTACCCAACTTCAAGGTTACTTAGCATACATGTTTCTGAAGTCCATGATTCTTTCTTTGCAGCAAAAGTTGCTCGTGGTTTCCCAATGGTAAGTGTTTTCTTTTTCCTGCAATAAAAAATTTACATAAATATTCACCATTTTCATATATGGCTTTTCTTTAGTTTGTCCTTGTCTTGATTCATGAATTAAAAGAAAAAATAGTTCATTAAATTCGTTTCCTTAATTTCTTATTAAGATTGTTTAGTTAGAGCGTGAACTTTCTACAAGTTGGGTTGTGTTTACATGCCTTGGTTAGAGTGCTTGCTTATATTTTTGGAAGATTTACATACAGACCACTAAATTCTTATCTTTTTATATATCTAACATCTAAATTCAAATTTACATATATATATCCCCTAACCTATGCATGAAAAATTGCATTTCATCTTTTAAAATTAAAAACAGTGATTTTTTTAATGTGATATGAAAGGTTTGGGTGTTATGTATGTAAATGCCCCTTGTATGAAACACAAAACAACACTTAATGTAAACATGAAAACTGAAGTAGATTCTTGCCGTGAGGAAGAAGAGGAGGTAACGTGAAAACAAAGAAAAAGAAATGAGGGAGAGAAGAAAAGGGAAAGCAATAAAAAATTGATCCCTCTTTATTATTCATCATAGAATAGGTACATGGAGCTATATATAGGCCCAACTAGTAAAAGAAAAAACAAGATAAAAGCTTATTACATTTATTATTATAATTAAGTAATTTCTTGTATGTTATTACAAGAGGTACTATTATTAACCCCTCTAAAGCTGATAGTATCGCTAGATAGTGTCAACTTGCCGCGAAGCATGATAAATCGAGCTGTCGGCAAGAGTTTGGTAGATATATTTGTTGGTTTATCAGCGGTAGGAGTATAAACGGCGTTGACTTCCTTAGAGAGAATGGGTTCACACACAAAGCGATAATAAATATCGATATTTTGGTCCTTGTATGAAAGACCGGATTTTGAGTCAGTGCCATCGTCGATTTGTTATCACAATAGATAGTGGTAGGTTCTTGAATGTTAACTTGAAATTGTTATAGTAATTGTCATAACCATTTAACATCAATTGCCGTAGACGCAAGGGTTCTATATTCAACATAAGTGGAAGATTTGGCAACGGTGGGTTGTTTCTCAACTTGTCAGGAGACAAGAGTGTTGCCTAGATAAGAACAATATCCTGTGATAAACATACGATTAGTGTGATCACTTGCCTAATTTGCATTAACTAAGAATGAAGAATAAGTGAACCTGGTGAATGGGTAGCCCGAGATCAAGAGTGCCTTTGATATATAATAGAACCTACTTGAGTTGTTAAGAATTGATATTTAAAGGTTCATGAAAATGGGATGATTGATTGATGACATAGTTGAGATCTGAACAAGTTAGACTAAGGTATTGGAGGGAGCCGACAAGTTTCTTCTAATGTTTGGGACTATTGAAGAGTTGCTTACCATTGGGCACTATTTTATTAGTAGATGAATGCGGATTTGGAAGAGCTTTGTAATTTGTCATACGTGCTCTTTGAAGAATGTCACCAACATAGTATTTTTGTAAAAGAAATAAACCAATAGTAGGGTGATTGATGTTGATATCCGAAATGGTAGAAATAATACCAAGATTTTTCATAAAAAAGTTGGTGTGAAGGTCTTATAAAAGTCCATCGATAAATAAACTACAATTTCCAATAAGCAATATATGATTTGCATATAATAAAAGGTAGATAGAAATGGAATTCTTGTTATATATAAGGAGGGATCAGAGTGTCGTGAGCTAACACATGGCTAAGTGTTTGGTGAAAGTGTTAAACCATTATTGAGGTGCCAGTTTGAGACCATATAGAATTTTTTTAAATAAACACACATGATTAGGACAATTGAGTTCAACATAGCCAGGAGGTTGTTTCATATAAATAACTTCATCCAAAGTATCATGTAAAACGACATTAGATATATCGAGTTGAAGGCCCTTCCAAGTATGATGAAGAGCCACAGCGAGGAAGTTACGAATAGTCAGAAGCTTGGCGACTGAGCTAAATGTATCATTGTAGTTAAGACCATGTTTTTGCTGAAAGCCTTAAGCTACGAGTCTCACCTTATACCGAACAATTGAACCATCTGGATGACGTTTGAACCTATAAGTCCACTTGCAGCCCAAAATTTTCTCATTGGTTGTTTTGGGAATAAGAATCCATGTCACGTGACTTTGAAGAGCTTTTAACTCATCTTCCATAGCCTTTTTCTAGTTTCTATGTTTAATAGCTTGATTGTGAAGTAACATGTTCAATATATGGACTAATGAGATGATAAAGAGTAAATTAGCGCTTAGGTAGGAGATGCCTGAACTTCGATTGAGTGAGAGGAACTGTGAGGTGAGTGGGTTCCAGATTGGATAAGGTGGGGCTTGGGGCAAATGTGCAGGGAATTCAAGAGGTAAGCTAGAGCCAGAGGGAAGGGGAATAGATGAAGGGGTAATGTGATGTGTGTTTTCAGGAAGAATGGTTTTAGGAGGGGTTGATTTAGAGGCAGATGATTTATTGAAAGTACTGATAGGTAGCAATGTGAAAGCCAAAAATGTAGATGAATTTTGATGTGGAGGGACTTTAAAATGAGCAACTTTATAGTGGAAAGAATATTCATTGAAAATGACGTCCCTTGAGATGTTGATTTTGCCAGTGTTGGGATTAAACACTTATACCCTTTGATGTGATTGGGATAACCAATGAATACAATGAGTAGATTTGGGTTGCAATTTTTTTGGCGGACGCATGAGATCCATGGGTAGCATGCACAACAAAAAACATGAAGATTTGAATAGTCCAAGAGAGTATTCTGCAACATTTGTATGGTGAGTTATTATGAGTTGTGGTGGAGTGCATACAATTTATTAGGTATATAGCTGTGAGAGCTGTCTCCAACCAGAAGAATGTAGGAAGGTGTGAATCGACTAGAAGGGCACAAGTCGTATCAAGAATATGCCTTTGCTTACGATCAACATGACTGTTTTGTTAAGGGGTATAGGGGCAATAGGTTTGATGAATAATACCATGAGTGTTAAGTTATCGTGTAATGATGTGAGTCTTGAAATCACCGACACCATCGGTTTTTAATATTTTATACGAGTATTGAATTGAAGTTCAACACCTTGCTTGAATTTAATTAAATACGAAAAAACTTCTTTTGTATGTCATAGGGTATAGCCAATAATCACAGTAAAAACAAATTGTATCCTTGAAATGAAAAATTAGGGGAGGAACGCCAAACATCAGAGTAAATTAATTCCAAAGATTTATAAGCGTGATTATTTGAAAGTCAAAGTGGAAAATTGTGGTGCTTAGCAGTAATAAAAAAATTATAAAAAGAACACGTGCTAGAAAGTAAAAGCTCTTGCTGTTGCTGAGAACGAACAATCATCGAATGAGAGTTTGCATGCACTAGGCGTCCGTGCCAAAGATCAATGTGAGACAGTGTCAAGAGAAGCGTGAGTTGATGATGTTATAGGATAGAGTTGAACATGGTATCAGAGCTTAATTTTATACCTTAGCATCAGTCCTCCTTCCAGAACTGTTGGAATCCCTGTCATCTTCTGTGCGGGAAGGGCAGGACACTCATCTTGGTATTTGAAACTACTTTTGCTTCTTGTCTCCCTGTAGGCTTGGCTTGGCTGACCCTTCTCGAGCCGGGAGCTTCGACTCTGCCGGCCTCCACAAAGCAAGTTTCTAAGCAGTTTTTCTTCCTGCTGTTTTTTCTCACGTAGAGATCTATTTCGTGGAGAATTTTCTGTTGTTGGCTGCCCAACAAATTTTTTTCCCATAAAGAACTATTGTATATTTTTTGTGTAGATATACCGTCAGTTCCACTAGTTATTGCCATTTTTCACCCTAATTGTTGCCGGTTCCCCTCATCTCTACCGATTTTCTAAATTTTGCTGTCGTTGATCCTTCAGACATGTTGTTCCAACCGCTGGACCTCCTTCCGCCGAAGTGTTGATCCCTAGATCTCAGTCTCAGACCTTCTTGCCGCTAGACCTTCTTCTTGCTAGACTAGAGCGCATCTAGTGGGACAACATCCTTGTGATCCTCGTCGAGGGGATATCGCGTGGGCAATCAATCATGGATTACTACTGCCCTCTCACCGGCAACCTCTATAGGTAAGATATCTGTCAGGCCTCTGTCGGTCGACTCTCCCTCTCACCTTCTCTGATAAGTTGTGTGTTAATGGCTTCTGCTGTCCCTTTCAGCCGCAGGATTTTTCCACTGTTCTTCTCTGCAGGACCTTTCCGTTCTTACTCGAAGGACTTTCCCACTGGAAACAAACAATTTTTTCTGATATTTTTCCCAATCGCAAGAAACAACGCATCTTTTTCCCTGAAATCCAATTTTGGTTCTTGTCATTTTCTGATGTTATTCCACAAAAACCTAGTTTTGATTTTTGCAGTCTGATCCGTCGCCAACCTTTTCTCCTGCAGTATTTTTCCTTTCCTCGTGCAGACGTCATGGGGAGCTGTATTTCTAGCTGTCCTTTCTCTTATAGCTTTATCTGTCGGTAGAATTTTCTTGGTGTGATTTGCACTCTCTCTCTTGCGGAAATCCCAATTAGAGAGCCACCACCAATGCTCGGAGAGTGGGATTTTTTCTCTCTATTGGCACTCCCAACCAAAGAAGAGAAGTTATTTTCCCGGATATGTCTTCTCTGCAAAGTGAACAGAGGGGAGGAGCTATTTTTGCCATTTTTCCTCCCTACAGGTTTTAATTGCCATTCCTTTCTACAGGAAGTTGCGGCTGTAGCCGCATCCATGGCATCTTGCATCATTGCACATGCGTGGATTGTGGAAACAAATGAAAGCTTGTTACAGAGGAGTTCATTGCTGGTTTGCTTGCAAAACAACTTGAAAAAGGCTATTATAGCGGTGAGGCTGGATGTATCCTTGAATGGAATCTCAGTAGTCGACCTACATGCGCTTCTTCGTCGGTTTCTTCCCTATTGTTGAAAATCTTCATGCAGGCCCTCTGCGTTTTCTTTGCCACCAGAACTCTCCTTGCAGACTAAGGCCGCGTTTTCTTTGCCACCAGAACTCTCCTTGCAGACTCTTTATTCGCTGGAATTCTTTTGTCCAACAACAACAACGACAACCGGTTCTCTCCTTGTAGGTTGCAACTATGCCGCCAGAAATTTTATCTGTCAACAATCTGCCCTACAACGGACAGTATCTTGCTACAGACCTTCCTCGCCGCAAAACCTTTTTATGCAGCAAACCATCCAGAGCTTTTATCTATTACTTAGAGGAGCTTTTCATCTACTTACAGTCACTGCAGAAACTATAGCTAACGCCAATTGCAGTCAACTGGAAGCTAGTTTTTCCTGCAGGTTGTCTACTTCCCTGCAAAATCTCCTGCAACATTACATGTAAGAGCCTTTCGCTTTTCGTCTATCTACAGACGCTGTAGGAACTGCAGTCAAAGACAACCGCAGTTGTCTACTTCCTTGCTAATTTTTCTACAACATTATCTGTTGGAGTCTTCCACCTACCTACAAATACTGTAGGAGTTGCAGTCAAAGACAACCGCAGTACGGGATGAAACTTCAAATTCTGCCTTACAGGATCTTCCTCGCCCGTTGGTTGATGTTTTCAAATCCAAGTTTATTATAGTTTTCAACCATGTGTCAACTTGAGAGGGAGTGTTAGAAGTTATATTAGAAAATAATTTATTCCTATGAGAAGTTATGAGGAATAAATTATTTTCTTGGATTAGATTTATTTTCTTTTCTATTTTAGACTTTCATATTTTATATTGTTTCCAAACAATTAATATGAATTGATTAATTATAGATATTATAAGTTTTATGTTTTCTTTCGTGTTATTTTTTTATTATTTTTTGTATTCTAGGATTTATGTAAGTGTCATTTATACTCTTTTTTTATATCAATAAAAACATTTCACCTTATTCTAAATTTCAACATAAACCATTCTGACACAACCATTGCAGTATGATGTCTTGAGTATAACAATACTTAATGCAGTAACCATGGGAGTCTAAAGTAATCGAACAGTTGTTATCTTTTGCTAGCTGATAAATAGAAAGAAGGTTATGTGAAATATGCGGTGTATGTAATATTTTTGAAAGAGAAAGCTTACTATTGGGTGGTGGGAAGCAAGCCATTCCTGAAATTATGTATGGGAACGAATTAACCATTTCCAACCAGCACTTGATCAGTATCAGTGTTTGTTGTGGACTGCTGTAGTTTATCGAGACCAACCATAAGATGTGTTGTAGCTCCCGATTCAAGATATCAATAAACATCGGAAGTGGTGGAAGTAAGGCTGTATTTTCCTGCAATTTTAGGGGTTAATAGCTCAGATTGGATCTATGCCAGCAGTTGGAAGCAAGGTGTCCTTTCTTATGACAGATTTGGCAGGTAGAAGCTTGTCTCAATTTGGGTTGGAAGTTGGATGAAGTGGCTTGATCATTGGACCTCTTGTTGTAGGATTGATTGTTGCAAGTTCTTGGCTGAGAAGTATTCTTCAAGGGATTTCCAACAGCTTGAAGAGGAAGTTGGTTTTCTGTGGATTCTTGAGAAAAATCAGTAGAGATATTGATCTCCTCACTAGCAATAATAAGTGCAAGTCTTCTAAACTGATGTAAGAAAAATTCGTTCTGATTGAGGTTTTGAAGACTTGATAGATAGGGGGTAAGTAGAGAATAATGTCTTCTTGATCAACCGTTAACCATGCCATGGAGATTTTATCAATAATGGTCTTGATTCGAGCGAGGTATTATGTCATTGATTGATTCTTCATGGAGACGTCATAAAATTTTTTCTTGAGCTGGATAACAAGAGAACGATTGGTGGCTTGGAGTTTTTTTTCCAAAGCTAGCCAAATATCTTTGCACGATTCAAGATTCTCAACATAGGGAAGCATGGCAGTAGAGATAGTGGAGAGAATAACAACAACAAGGTGCTGACAAAGAAGCATCCAGGTATTGAAAGTTGGGTTTGACTGAAGCACACCTGGGGTAGGGTAATGAGAGGGCAAGAGATTGAGCCATCTAAGGATCCATATAGTTTATTGGCTTTGATAATCTTTATAACCTGAGACTTCTATAAAGTGTAGTTCTCGGTGGAAAGAGAGGTATTCATGATGGTGTGAATGTTAGAGATAAGAAATTTGATAGATGGAGCTATTGGCTTATCTGTGATGTTCAACGAAGGCAGACCGATGTTCAGGGGCGAGGTGCTTGAGTCCTCTATAACAGGAACAACAGAGCCGTGAGAGGCTCAAAGTTGCTCCGATACCATGAAAGATGAAGATTCTTGTTGTGAGGACGAGGTAACATGAAAACTGAGAAAAAAAAAATGAGGCTGAAGAAAAGGGAAAGCAATAAAAAAGTGATCCCTCTTATTAGAATTGGTACAGGGACCTATATATAGATCCAACCAGTAAAAGACAAAACAAGGTAAAAGCCGCTTACTTTAATTATTATAATTAAGTAATTTCTTGTATGTTATTTCAAGAAGTACTGTAATCAAGTTTTGAAGTAACAGAGATTAATGCCATTGCGTAGTAGCATGATAGAAACAAGTATAGTAATTTGCTGATAATTATATAGCTTGGAGCACTTATGGTTTATGGATAACAATTTGATTGAAAATAGGACTTAAATTCATCAAGTGATATAGTTACGAAAGTAATAATTTAAATAATTCATCTAGGAGGCTCTCTAGAATATTTGCAAAATTAACCTTTGAAGGATTGAAATTGCAACTATAAATTTAAGTTGAAATTCAATTGCAGAGAATGAGTGACAAGTTGAGAGTAGAGAGAATATTAAGTAGATAATAACTTAAACCCAAAACCTAGACTTTTTCATTAAAATTCTAAATTCTACATTGGCCGACAACCTTCTAAGTTCTTGTTGATATTTTTATTATGGGTTCTAATCCTCATATTTATTTAATTCTGTTCTCATTTTATCAATAAGTATGCTTCAAATTTATGTGATCTACATCCATTGCACATATTCACTAATGGCCTGTTTGGGGATGGTGATAAATGTGCGGTGTGGTTTGCACTGCATCACTTGTGTTTGACAAATTATGTTTTTCCTGCTTTCTCAAGAAGTTATGGTTGGAAAGCTGTGTTTTACAACATGACATAGCTAAGTGCAGTTGTTGCCATAAAGTTTTTGTTTGATATTTTGAAAATAAAAAATTTTGAAATAGCCATCCTACTTTTTTCTGCAGCAACTTCACAACTGCTTTAAACAACTGCAACTGCTCCAAACATACTCTAAGTTTAGTTTCAATGCATTCTTAAATTGTACTTCATATCGTTAATCGGTGAATTTCCATTTCAATCCAAGGAATAATGGAAGCTCTTACAATTGTAATTTTTTAAACCCTAAAAAGTTTGGTCTGAAAAATGTATATATTGTTAGACTGCTTCATCTTTACAAGATAACATGAGTCGTATTGCTATCTTCCTTGTTCTGTTTTACATCTCTGAGGTTATCCATATTATATTGGGGTATCTACCTACATACCACCTAATTTTTATGGATTTACATATATAACTCCAAAGCTTTATTTTTTACATTTATATCACCCAAATCTTTCCTATCACATAAAAAATACCACTATTTTAACTTTTAAAATGTGAAATGCACCTCTTTATTCACAAGTAAGGTGCCATATATTTAAAAATTGAAATATAGGTGTTAGACATGTTAAAACACAGTAATTGAGTGTTATGTATGTAAATCTTCCTATTATCTTTGGTAACAGTACGAATGCTTGGTGGAAGGATGTGGAGCAAAGCTGAAAAGCTACAAAAGCCGGAAGCAACATTTAATACACAAGCACAAATTCCCTTCCTCATTTGAGTTCAAAAAGGCGAAGCCATCCAAACACCGACGCGAAATAAACCAACATAAGCAACATGACCAAACGAAGGAGGAGGCCATGGAGGGCGGAGCATCTTTCTTGGTTCAACAAAACGAGGACGAAAAGGTGTCTCATTATGAAAGAATGGAAGTAGAGGAAATGGATGAACTTGTTTCCGCTGTGTCGAAGCTAAGGACGTCTGATTGCTCTACTCCTTCGAGTGTAAGCTTCGGTCGCCGTCATAATCGTGCCTTCACATTCCTCCCACGCTCTCTCCGGCAGAATATAAAACATCGATCAGGTGCCATGGAATAGTTTGCACATTGTCGATGTCTACATTGGTGTGCAATTTCCTGGATATACTTGCAATTTTATCATTTTGCTTGCTTCTGCAAATTCATGTGTTGTGGGCATCTACTTTGGTTGATGATAAAGAAATGTTCGTATAATCTCTGTTTAAAGTGGAATGCATAGGATTGTTTTAAGGGAGGGAGATTTACATCATGCCACTCAATTCTTATGTATTTATGTATTTACAGATCTAACACCTAAACATCAATTTTGACATATCTGACAGTTACCAATGCATGAACAGGTGTATTTCACGTTTTAAAAGTTAAAATAATAGTATTTTTATGTGATGTGAAAGATTTGGGTGGTATAAGTATAAAAAATAAAGTTTAGGTGTAAGATATGTAAATACGTAGGAATTGAGTGGTATGTATTTAAATGCCCCTCTAAGAAATTGAGCACATTCCAGTGTAAGATGCATCAAAATATTCTTTCACTTTTTTCAAAAATATTTGTAATCTAATTGAGTGCTTACCTAAAAAGCATTGCAGTAGTTTGTAATTTGATTTACTTTTATCAAATTTGCATTTTTTCCCATAATTGCCTCATACAAGATATTCAGCAACTTCTATGAGATAAACGGAGCATCTACTTTTTCCAGTTTTTCTATTAACTGAATCTCTTCTCTGTGTCTATATATGGTTAGTGGAGCAAACCATTGTAACCAAGGGAGATTTACATGCATAACACACAATTTTTACATATTTACTTATCTAACACCTAAATTTTGGTATTTACTTGTATACCAATTTATATAGTCACAATCGCAACAGAACATACGCATGAAAAGTTGCAATTCACTTTCCAAAAGTCAATGTGGTGTTATTGTTTATGCAATTTTAAAGATTTGGTTTTATAAGTAGATATCAAAGTTTTGGTGTTTGATAGATATGTAAATAAGCAAGAATTGTGTGATATGTATGTAAATCTCTCAACTGAATGGTCAGGATGAATGATATAAATAAGTGGCATTAGAGAAAGAAACTTGGCTGCCATTTGTGAATTTACCATCTCTAATCATAGTTTCCTTTGGGGTAAGTATATAATTCGCCCTAAATAAATTATATGTAAACCATTTTATAATTTATAAGCAATGATAGTATTAAAGTGACATTACAACAGCATTTGATAACACAACTGGTAACAATCCACTCATAAATCTAGCGAGATGACACATTTTTAACATAATTAAAATCCAGCCAATGCACCCAACACAGCTGAGAAGATAATTCCCACTGATGAAGAGATCTCCAATCCCCTCAAACTTCCACTGTCATAAGGCGTGTTGTCCATCAATGGCAGCCCGCTGAATCCAAGTCCAATCTCTGCCGGCCTCCGGCTATCAAACGTCGCCTCTGCTGGCTTTCTATATGATGAAGGTTCACTGTCGCCATTGCCATTGCCGCTTATTGGCCCTGCTGCAGTAGGCACAACCGGAAGCTGTCCGGGTGCCAAACTGCTATCTTCAATAACCTCCGACTCTTCCTTGGACGAAGTATCCGCCGCTGGCTGCAGCCCGAACGGCAGTGATCCGCTCAGCCCAATCTGTGCTGACAACGGCGGCGAACCAGGAAAGCCGCAACTTTGATTGCTTCTGGGCATATCGCTTCCCTTCCAAGCAACTTCTCCATCCTTATCAATAATTATCATGTCTCCGAGATCGACGAGTTGTAGCGTATTGGGATGGAAGGCATTTACCTCCGCACTCCAAGCTTCTCGGCTCCCGTCGAGCACCTGGAGCCCATTATCGTCGAAGAGGAGCGTGCAAGTGTTGGAAGTCCTGACAGGGGCGCATTCCGACTCCCACACGCTATCGCCAGAGTTGGTGTCTTCCACTTGGATGAAGCAGAAGTCGTTGCCGTAGCCTCCGGCTGTGGGCGCAGTCGTCGCAAGGCGGAGGAAGTGGGCCGCGTATTTACCGCAACGAGAGGTTAGAAAGATTTCGGAGGATGGAGACTGGCCGGGAAGGATGGTGGCGAGAATTTGTTGCTTGATGGTCCGCTCGATGGTCCCTGTGGGTGATTCGGACATTGATATTTGGATGAGAAGGAGGAGGACGAGAGAAGAGGTGGGGAGGAGGGAAGCCATTGTTGATTGGATTGAGACTACATGTGAGGAGAAGGTCTGCATGGTGGGTTTTAATGAGCTTGCTAGTGAAGTGGAAGAAGATGGTGGAGCAGAGAGCGGGGAGTTTTTATTTATTCTATTTCAAATGCGCAAGGAGCAGTTGGAAGATGGAGTTGGTTGTTTTTTTTTTTTATTATTTTTATTTATGGGGCATTGACGTACATACCGCTCAATTCCTATGTAATTATATATCTAGCCTCTAAACTTCAATTTCATGTGAAAAATAGTATTTCACTTTTAGAAGTTAAGATAGTGATATTTTCTTGAGGGATATTAATATAAAAATTAAAGTTTATGTCAATGTAATTAAATTCCCTTCTTTTTTGGATCATTTACATGCATACCAGACAATTCTTATGTATTTACATGCCTCACACCTAACTTTCATATTTACACACATAATGCATAAATCTATAAAGACATATCAATAAATAGTGCCGGTTGCATAAATCTATAAAGACATATCAATAAATAGTGCCCAACCCTTTTTAAGAGTAAAATTTACAGTTTCATGCATAGGTTTAAAGCAAATTGCTTCGTATTTAGATATTAAAGTTTAGATGTGAGACATCTAAATACATAATAATGATGTGATATTGTATGTAAATTTCCCCTATTGTCAAATGTAGGCAGAGTTTGATCCCAATAACTTGATATATTTTTTAAAATTAATTATAATCTATTAAATAGGTTAATACCTATATTTTGAGGATAAATTATGAAAAACCTTTGGAGTTGTGACTGAGTATATTAGGGGTGAAAGGTAGAACAAATGAATAAAATTTTTTAATATTTTAATTAAAATAAAGTAAATATAGAGAATTTTACAAAATACCCCATATAAATTATTTTGAGATTTTTTTTGCATCATCCTTGAGTCAAGGATATGAAACTTGCATTGATGTAGAACAAGAATGATAGATTAATTAAAAATAAGAAATAATGAAAGATATTGGTGTGGCTTGTCATTTTGGCATATTTATAAATCTATATCTTTTTATTTTTTTTGCTTAGCTTTATATAATCCTTTTATTTTAATGTTTATATATTTTCAACTGGTAATATTATTTCGCTTTCATTTTATCTATTAAAGTTATACAAATAAGAAAATTATTCATATGCCGGGATAAATTATTATCACCTTAGGTTGCATTTCAGTCACATTACATGAGAATTCAATATTATTATGCAAACTTGCTTGTATTTTGAGTGGTCTTGATGTAACTTCTTCTCAAAGATTTAAAGTAAACATGAACAAACATCTCTATAAAGACTCTTAAGGAAATGATATATAAGATGAAGAGAGTAATCCTTTATGTCATGTATTATTCATAGTTTAAAAACCTATAAACAATTATGAAAAGTTAACTTTTTTACTATCATTATTTAATTTCAAAGAGGGATTATTTTTTTTTAAAGCGACTTTGATGGATAGTTTTAACTCTCTTTCCTCATAATTTTCTTGAAAGTGATACCCTTCTTTGAAAAAGAAAGTGATCGTAATTTTATCAATTTATTTTTATATTACTTATATTTACATAATTATTCTATTTTATTTACTTATCCTCTTTCACACATTCCCTTTTAAGTTTTCACACATTCCCTTTAAGTTTATGGATTTTTTTTCTAAGTTCCAAAATTTCTCTTTCTTTGCTCTTCTCAAGCGAATATAATCATTTAAGATTTATGGATCTCGATATAGCTATGTTCTCTTTCTTCATCTCCTTAAAATTAAAGTTTTCACATCACAACCTCAAATAATTCTTGAATCATCTTCATAATATCATAAGCACATAATCTCTTTTACTCGTGCTACATTATTAAATTATATTTATATTTTTCAAAATTTTAATATGCTTCTCACAAAACTTTTTGTTTCTCTGTCATCAAGATTATTTCTATTTATTTAATGTGTTCGTTCTAAAGTTGTTACTATAAGAAATAATTGATGTAGTATTTATTGGGACAAGTTATCACAACCATGCATGGAAATTTAATACTATCAAGCGTTGGTATGTGCTGTCCTCCTCATGTGAAAATGGACATTTAAACTAAAATATGCCATAGAGGTGGGAGTATGATAATATAGTTCATTTTGAAAATTTATAGTAGTTTAGAGAGAGTTTTTTCTTGAAAAGTTTGAGCGATTTTGATGTTTTTTCTTCTTGAAGATTTAAAGTGAACCTTAAAAAAAGATTTATCATGAAGATTTTTAATATGGTCCTGTATTCCCATATGTGACCATTTCATCGGAGAAATGAAATTGATCAAACAACCCATGAAAAGTGCCCGTGCCACCATGTTTGCACGTACCCCCACCACATCAAACCCTCGCCATCCCCTTACACCATTGTTGTTGTGCTCTAGATAGTAAAATATTTCATTTTACACATCTATCCTGAATATTTATTACTAAAGAACCTCTTTGCATTTCTTACAGAGAGAATAACAAGGATTTCATTGGTCACAAGGAAAAATTTGGGATCAGATTATTTTAAATTATTTTGAACTAAAGTTATAATTAAGATATTTATGTTTTAAGCTATAAAAGTTCCATCAAATTTCAAAACATCTCTTTCTATTTTATAAATCAAATATCACAGCTGCTGTAAATACTAAATATATAGTATTCTCAAAGACAAAAATATTACGTCAGAAATTATAATAAATTATCATATACATTTAAAGAAAGTTTGTCTTGTAACTTGGCATTTTGTAATAATTTTGTCCAGCAATAATCCAAAGATGTGAATTGCTCGAGTTCTTCTCTCATATAATATGTTATAAGAAATTATATTATAAAAATAATCTTGATTATATTATTGCTGATAGAAAAATATATTGTAATTAGTTCGGCCCCGATTGATGCAAAATCTCCTCATGATATAAATTATGTATTTTTTGTTGTTTTACTCAAATATGTGGTTGAAGATACACGTAGGTAATGTAATATTTTAAACTTATCTTCATTAAAGCCTCCCTAAAAGTATTAATAATTTGAAGTTAAAATATCTTCAGTAAACATAGAGACAATCGAACTTCACAAATATTTTTAACCAATTATATCAGTAAACTACATTTATTTTATCAATTATGAATATATATATATATATATACTCAATTAAACAAAAAATTAATTACCGAGTAAAATTGTTACCATTCAATTTTTTGTCATATGTTATTAATGATGCAAGCCAATCAATTAATTATTGTTAATAAAGTTATAATCATCATTTAAATTACACAACATAAGCAAGCATTCACACAATTTAAGTTTAAAATTACTTATGTAACCATAGTAATTAGCTATATTAATAATGATAAAAATGAAAATAATTTATACCAAAATAGTTGCGATCAGGATGGAAAAGAGTAATCTGAGTAGGCTTAACGCTGTTAGATTTGTTAGATGCTAAGAATATAATTCTATAAAAATTAGTTTTGAGAATAGTGAGAATAGCTCCGCACGATTTTTTTTTTTAAAAAAAAAGAGATAGAGCGAGCTGAGAGTTTTTGAATTTGTATTTTTTTTTTCCGTTGAAGTTATCTTTTCTTCTTATATTTATCTCATCCGGTTTATCTTTTTAAATTGTATAAATACGTGTCTAGATAATTAAAATATTTTGAACATCAATGGCCTTCATCCTTTCCCCTCTGTGTTTCTTCTTTCTCATCCTTTCAGCCATCAGCGCCTTCGCCGTGGGCAGTGCCACTGAGCTGGACTACGCTGAAGCTACCGTTGCCGACATCCAAGCTTTTTTCGAAGACGGCCGCCTCACCTCCAGGCAGCTCGTGGACTACTATTTGAGCAGAATTCAATCTCTCAATTCCGATCTGAATGCCGTCATCGAAGTCAATCCCGACGCCCTCTCCGACGCTGATCGTGCAGACGAAGAGCGCCGCTCTGGAAGCTGCCCCCGCGGCTCACTCCACGGCATTTCAAGGATAATATCGCCACCTGCGACCGCCTTAACACCACCGCCGGCACCTTTGCTCTACTAGGCTCCGTAGTCCCACGTGATGCCGGAGTCGTCCACCGCCTCCGCAAAGCCGGGGCCATCATCCTCGGCAAGGCAAGCCTGAGCGAGTGGGCCAACTTCCGGAGTACGTTTAGAGCCCCCAATGGCTGGTGCGCTCGCCGGGGGCAGGGACGAAACCCTTACGTGCGGGAGGCTGATACGTGTGGGTCGAGCAGCGGTTCTGCTATCGCGGCGGCAGCAGGGATGGCGGCGGTGACACTAGGGACGGAGACAGATGGGTCCATCATCTGCCCCTCGGCGGCAAACTCGGTGGTGGGGATCAAGCCAACGGTGGGGCTGACAAGCAGGGCGGGAGTGGTGCCTGTCTCGCTCAGACAGGACACTGTGGGGCCAATCTGCCGGACGGTGGCGGACGCCGTGGCGGTGCTGGAGGTCATCGTTGGGTACGACGATAGGGATGCTGAAGCGACGGCGGCTGCTGCGAGGTTTGTGCCGGAGGGCGGGTATCAGCAGTTCTTGAAGGCTGAGGGATTGAAGGGGAAGCGGTTGGGGATACTTGGCAAGGAGTTCTTCTCGTATGAGAAGGGATCTGTAGAGGAAAAGGCCTTTGCTGCTCACTTCAGAGTCATGAAGTAAGTAAGAGCTTTCTGTATACCTCAACTATATCCATCTCCACTTAATATATTTTATTTAATTGATATATCTATGGGCCTTTGATTTATCCGAAATTCTATCTACTACATTTTGATCACGACCTAATTTGCCCTCTTTGATATTCCAAATCACTCAAAAATTTAGGAGCTTCGCAACCTCAACCTTTATTAGGGTATGCCAAAAACTTTTCCAACTGTACTAAAAGACTCTTTATTTAACACAGTATTATCAAACATCTCCATGAGGGGTAATTTATTTTCCCCAATGATATTTAATTTTCAAGTATGAGTACTTGCGTTTCTGAAAACTCCTAATTATATAATTTTTTTTTTTCAAATGAGTTCGGGATTTTTAAGAACGATATTTAATTTTCAAGGACGGGTACCAGCTTTTTTCCCAAATAAACATTTTAAACAATGTCATATTGCCTCTTTTTTATACCTTTGTCAGCTTCGACAGAGTTGACAACAACAAAATGATTCGATCGACAATTAACGATAAGACAAAATAAAATAAAATAAAAATATTTTCTTTTCTAATTTTTAATTTTTTTTCTCATTTTTCTTACAATACACAACAATAATAATAATAAAAATACAAAATAAATAGTGGAATGGGATTAATAGACTTGGATTGGGGTTAGAGGCATTTGTTAGAAGGATCGGTAGCTTAGGTCACACAAATAGAGCCTCGGGATCAGGTTACGGCAGAGCAGCAGAGGCGGATAAAGGGTGAAGCTTTGGGTTGTGAGGCTTAGACATAGAAGATGAAGTATTCAGATAGGCTGGTGATTGGATCGTGCGAGTGTTTCCTGCAAGGTGGTGCGACATAGGAGTTTGGGGTTTTGGTGTGGGCTAGGGAAGAGGGGCTCGACGTCGTCCGAGACTTGTGAAAGTGGAAAAGAAAAGCAATCACATTACTGCGCAAGGTGAATTAGGCGGTGTGGTCTTGCGTGCGGGTTTCATGCATGAAGGAATGCATGAACGAAGGAGGAAACAACAAGAAAATTGTTGTGAGTACACTAGAAGGGAGGCCGATAGAGATCATATGACTTATGTTTGCAAACCATAGAGGGAGAAACTAGCACTCTTGCAAGTTTTTGAGTTCAAAAGGAAAAGGAGGAACATCGAGGAAGATGAGAGTGTTGGCTAAGGCTCATGCGCATGCAAGTGCGGCTTTGGTGTTGGCGTCGATGAAGAAGAGGTGAACAGTTTGACTCGGAGTAACGAGAAAGAGTGATCAGTCGCAAAATGAGCGCTTCAGTTGCAATTTAGAGGAGGAAGTAAAGGAATAATTGTTCGAAAGATTTTTTTCATTCATTAATGATTTGGGCTTATATAGAGTCTTATAACATTCTTTACAAATAAATCTCCAGACTTCTACATTTTTTATTTATAAATAGGACCCTAAACTAAACACAAATCTTAACAATCCCCCTCAAGATGGGCAAAAGACATCCACTAAGCCTCTCTTATCACATAACCTTGACAAATATAATGAGCAAAGTCCTTCAGGCACTTGCTCTCCAGTGGCTACATGATGAAGAACCTATCAATCTCCACATGTTTTTTTTTATCGTGTTGCAACAGGTTGTTGGCAATGCTGATTTCTGACTTATTGTCACACCACAACCTCATTTAAACTCCTTGGTTCACCTCGAGATTTACCAACAAGGCTCTCAGCCACATCATCTTGACAACTCTTAAGGGCATAACCTTTTACTTTGCCTCTGCTATTGACATCACTACTACTGACAATTTCTTGCACTTCTAAGAGACCAAGTTTCCTCTAAAAAAATGCAATATCCTGATGTGGACTTTTTGTCATCCACACAATTTGCCCAGTCAGAGTCACAAATGCTCTCAATGCCTACATGCCCCTTCTTCTTGAAGATCAACCCTTCTTTGGTGCACTCTTCAGGTACCTCAAAACCTGAGACACTGCGTCCATATGACTCTTTCTTGGATCATGCATGTAGTAGCTCACCACGCTGACTGAAAATGAGATGTCGGGATGAGTGTGCCTCATATACATTAGACAACCCACCAATCTCTGGTATCTCTCCTGATCAACTAACCCATCTATCTCTGCACTCAACCTGGCTTTCTGATCAATTGGAGAGAATCTAGGCTTGAATCCTAGCATGTCTATTCTGTGAGGAGATTTAGTACATACTTCCTCTGAGATAAGACCATCCATTCTGGTCTATGGGCCATTTTAATCCCAAGGAAGTATCTGCACTATTTAAGGTCCTTCACCTCAAATTCTTTGCCCAATATTACTTTTAGCGGGGAAATCTATGCTTTATTATCACCAGTACAATCACGTCATAAATATACACAACAAGCATTGTGGTGTGACCTCCATGTTGTCAAAAAAACAAAAAAACACCATATGGTCAATGATGATATCCCATGCCTGTCATAGCCTTTATATACTTATCAAACCAAGCTTAAAGATATTATTTTAGGCCGAAAGTGACTGTCTGAGCCTGCACACCTTGCACACTGTATGGTTTGTACCAAATCCTGCTGATATCTCCATATACACCCTCTCTTGTAACTCACCATGAAGAAACACATTCTTCATATCTAGTTGGTGTAAACTCCACCCATCATTCACTATTAGAGAAATCAATGTCCTCATCATTCTCATCTTCACTACTGATGTAAAGGTTATTTCATAGTTAATGCCATACATATGACGACACCTTTTCACCACCAATTGTGCTTTGTAACGCTCCACCTTTAATTCTGGATTTTGTTTTACTGTGAAGATCCACTTGCACCCAATTATTTTTTTCCAGCTGGTAGTGACACTCTCCCATGTTTGATTTTTATTGAGAGCCCCATGCTCTTCATGCATGATGCTTTGAACTTGGGATTCTCCTTATCTACCTGTCAACATTTGGGTATAGAGACAATGCCCAAAGATTCAATGAAAGCTTCATGTACAAGTGATATTTTAGAGTATGAAACAAACTAATCAGTGTCATGTTCCTACCCAAAACTATCAAGAGGATGCCCACATTGCTACGAGAGGTCCTTCTTAATGTTATGTGGTTGTAAGTAGTTGTAAGAGGAATCATATCACATGTGGATTCTGAGTTTAAGGTGGATGAGTAGGTGTCTCAAAAGTCAGGGTAGATGGAGACAAGGGACCAGTTCACGAGTGAAATTACAAGCACAGTTATCTCATTCTACTTCCACCTTGTATACACCTATAGCTCCCCTTCAACTTGAATTTCATCATGATAGATTTAATCTCCTAATTTTTAATCTCCAAATTTTCTGGCTCCTCAACCGATTCATTCCACATCATAGGAAGAGTCATCACTCCCACATGCACTAATCTCTCACTATTACTACTCACCCTTTCTTGCCTCATACCTCTAGTATCTGGTGAGTCACTTAAAGGGTGAGGTCACCTGGTGAGTCACTAAAGGGTGAGGTCACCTTGAGTTTCTCTAAACGACACATCTACACTCACAAATAGTCTCTTATCTATCGAGCTCCAATAAACATACCCAATCTGGGTAACAAAATAACCCACAAAAACACAGTTCACAACTCTGAGATCTAGCTTCCCTATGGATGGTCTGTTGTCCTTCACAAAACATACATAACCATAAACCTTCAATGAAAGGATTTTTATATTATTTTCTTTCAACATCTAACAAGAAGACTTCTAATTGAATACTCTCGAGGGTATTCTGTTGATCAATTAAGCGATTATCAAAATAGCTTGCTTCATAAGTGCTTTGGGTTGTTTGTCATGATCATCATGCTTTTGGCTACCGTTTATTCTTCCTCTCTGCTACTTCGTTTTGTGTCCATGTGTATGAACATATAGTTTAATGTTGTATCTCTTGGGTTGACAAGTATGCTTCAATCCCTTATTAGTATACTTTATCCCATTGTCAGACGTAAATACCTTCACTAGATCACCATATTGAGCAGGGTTGCCTTGTGGAAATTCATTAAAACAATCAAACACATCACCCTTATTTTTCATCAGATATAAAAACAAGTAATATAAGAAAAACAATCAATAAAGGATACAAAATATCGATAATTATTCATTGAAATTGTAAAACAAGGTACCCAAACATCATAATGTATCGAATCAAGAACACAAGAACCCTTATTCCCAAATTGATATAATATCTTCTAGTAAGCTTGTCAAACTAACACACATCACATATAAGTTTTTTTTATTTTCCTTTTCATATAAAGATGCATACAAACAACTCGCTAACTAAATCAAGAGTGTCTCCTGCGCTTATGATGTAACAGTAACACATCATCCAACTCTTCCCAGATCCCTCTACTCCAGAACTCTCTACCAGGAGTGTCAAAGCTATGTCCATCCCGGCTTTATCCAAGTACCAATGTCCACTATGCTACGTTCCAGTCCTAAATGTTCAGCCCGTCCCTTTCTCTTGAAAAACCACCTTAGGAATATCAAATGAAACAACTCATTTTCTTTGGAGAATAATGACTAATGGATAAACTATTCACTAGAAATTAAGCAACATGCAAAATATTGAATAAATTCTTATAGTTGGTACTCCTCACTGTATCCTTATCAAATATAGGTTGTAGGTTGTACTGTACCATCAACAATCTATGTGCTCTCTAAAACTGCTAAGTGAACTCTCTAGAAGTACCTGTCGCATGTCGATATGCTCCAAAATCTATTATTCAGTTGAACTTATGGTATGAATAACGCTAAGGGCATTTATATCATGAGTTTCTCTTTCAGAGTGAGCATAAGTAGCAATGTTTCCCCTTGATGACAAATTGGTGGATGCATCCTCAGCCCTATCATCTATTGCTTTATGCTTTCTCTTATACATCTCTTGAAACTCATGATCCTCATCAGTAAAGACCACAACTGTCTCTCTCACGTTCTCCGCTACCATTAAATTTGTCTGGTGGCCCCCTCTTCCACCTCTTTGGCCCCCACGATTATGATCACAACTTCTAAACTGTCCACCTCCACCCATCCCTCTATCTTTGAACATACCTTACTTAGGTGTCCCACTTCTCCACAGTTGTAGTACCTGCGGGTCCCTCCAGAAACCTTTCATAGCTGAGCTCGAGTTAGCCAAAGTTGATTGTTTAATTGAAGTATACTTTGTTTAGAGTGTAGCCTCATACAACTCTCTTCTTGTACCATCGCGACGATGACCTCATCCAGTGAAGGGATCATTGCCTGGGGTAGGAGGACTGATCTCTTATGATCAAAGACTGAGTTTAGATGAGGCAGAAACTACATAGTTCTCATATGTGCAAAGATCCCCCTTTATGTACTTTAGATTAACATAGTTCAACATAGGTAATATGTGATCAAGATCTTGCCACAATCACTCTAGCTTTGCAAAGGTACTCCTGAATTGATTTATAACCATATACCTCTGTCTCTATGTCACGCTAAATCCGGAACACCCTCATGTGGTTTTCAATCTCAACATAGGTCTTCTTTAGCTTTGCCCAGATGTCCTTCATCTTTTGAATGTCATCCACTGATGAGGAAATTGATGGAACTCGCATCAAGTTGAGAAACCAGGTGAAAAGTAAGGTGTGTGTAGTCTTCCACTCATCTCCCTCAGCACAGTCACCCTCTGACTTAGCCTTGACTCTTGTCAAATATCATCCTAGTCTCTTCCATAGTAGATCAACATAGATTCAACGTGATCAACTCAGATATGTGGTCGGTCCATCAAGCTTTAGATTTAGAGGAGGGAGTTCTAGTTTCACCTACATTGGAGCACATGCTAAAATGGTTCCTCCCATCGAGATGCTAGCTCCCTGTATGAGCCTGATCAAGGCCTTCATAAACCTCATGATTTATTTTCCTCGGAAGCTCCTATATTTTACCTCATGTTCCATCTCCTTCTCTTGACATCTAAATCATAAGGATCTAAGTCAAGATCACACACGACTTTCTTCTCTACCTTGCAACGAAACCTTTGTGTAATCCAAGCGCCAAAAAAATCTCGCACCCCCTATTTCTCTCTTCTACACCGAATCGTTGTTCGCCTCCCTTTCACCAAAGCTGCTTTAATTGATGTTTTTCAAATAAAATTATTCTATTTTCCCTCTTTCGCGATCCAACCCGCCTAAAGACCCCCAAAAGCCTTCTACCCTTCGACCACTTTGCTCGTGCATGTGTGGCCTAGGAACCGAGCACCACGAACCTAACTTATAAAAAAATTATAGGTGTTAGATATGTAAATACATATAAATTGTGTGGTGTATATAAATATTCCCAATTAAACCACAATAAAATTTGCAGTGGCGTTAAGGATGTAGTTATCAATTGGGTTAACCTATAAAAAAATTTGTGTGTATCAATCTTCTTTTTTTGCTATTTTCCAATACGCATTAATTATTTTATTCTCAACCATCAACTAATGATAGCTCATTATTGCAGGGAAAAGGGTGCAATCTTGTTTGACAATCTGGAAATAGCAAATGCGAGTATTATAGTTGACATGTCTCAAAGTGGAGAACTGACTGCTCTTTTTGCTGAGTTCAAGCTCGCACTCAATACATATCTCTCTGAACTTACAGTCTCCCATATTAGATCCCTCGCAGATGCCATAACATTCAACAACAAACACAACATTGAAGTAAACCCTTCACATTTCTTCCATAATATTACAAAGTTGTTTGGATTCAATTTTAAAGCTAAGCTTAATATTTATTATAGTAATTTTTACATACATACCACTCAATTCCTATATATTTACATATCTAACACCTAAACTTCAATTTTTACATGCATGCCACCTTACCTATGCATAAAAGATGTATTTAACTTTAAAAAAAAAGTTAATATAGCAGTTTTTTTGATATGATATGAAAGATTTGGGTGTTATAAATGTAAAATGTAAAATCTAGGTGTTAGATATGTAAATGCTTAGGTATTGGGTGGTATCTAGGTGTTAGATATGTAAATGCTTAGGTATTGGGTGGTATGCCAGTGAATGCCCTTTTTTTTATTATAATGTGAATTTTCAATTTATAATGCTCATTTAAAGAAAAAAGTTAAGAAGTGAGTTCCTATTTTGAAATAAATTGACACCATGTCCTTAAGAAGCAATGTGGCCTTCACGGCTATCAATGGCTCATTTTTACAGTATTGGATGCAGGAAAAGATAGCAGAGTATGGTCAAGATAACTTCTTGGCTGCAGAGAAGACAAACGGCTTGGGTGAAGTAGAGAGAGAAGCTATTAAGAGATTGGCTGAGTTTTCTGTTGAGGGAATGGAGAGACTAATGAAGGAAAAGAAACTGGATGGTATTATAAGTCCAGATAGCACTGCCTCTTCAGTTTTAGCCATTGGTGGCCACCCAGGGATTAGTGTGCCTGCTGGTTATGCAAGCAATGGTGTTCCATTTGGCATCTGCTTTGGGGGATTGAAGGGCTCTGAGCCAAAGTTGATTGAGATAGCTTACGCTTTCGAGCAGGCAACCAAAGTTCGAAAACAACCATTGTTGAATATATCCACTGCAATTAAGAAAGATTTTATTGTCTGATTTGGGATATTTGTGTTAGCTTATATCTGACTGTTTCTATCAATTTATTGAGTGATTGCGCATGTCTACTGTTTTTATCTGCATCTAATAATTTCTCCAATTATTTTTCAACATTTTATTTTCTATTTCTATTTATCATCTTCTTAGATTATATTTTTTAAATGCAACAAATTTTGATTTTTTTTTTGCTTAGTTGTTTAACCTTTTCGGGCTTTTAAAGAACACAAATGGAATGTTGGGAAAGCAAGGAAAATGCCAATTAACCTATGATCTCTTCTAACATCAACCCGCCCTAAGTAACTTCACCTAAAAGGTTTTCTAACAAAAAAAAATAAAATAAAATAAAAAGGATCTCACCACCACAGCAATTGATGATGCGTTCTCTTTTCTCCACGTCCTTCTTTATGCAAGGAAGTAGATGACCTCTTTCTTGTTGACCTCCTTCTTTCTTCAAGGGAACTCTTGAGAAAATAAACTTCTCTCTTTGCTCTCAAGAAATAAAGAAGTCTGGTGGAAGCGGAAGTGGAAAATGAAGAAGGAGAAGAATATGGAAGAAAATAAGAAGAAAACTCACTTTTTTACTTTAGGTTTTATTCTTCTCCATGGAAGAACTCCCTTAGCCTCCTTAGCTCTTCAAATGCTCTCTAAAAATGTTAAACCCTCCCAATTAAAGTTACCAATTTAGATCCCCAATGGATGCCCTAAGTTTAGCTCTTAATTTGTCAATATTATATTTTAAGTGGTTATACAAAATGAGCCTAAATGGTGTTGGAAGCTCCCTATTGGCCCTCAGTGAGGTGGAAGCTTAAATTAACCTTTCGTTGATCACCCCAAAGCCATCCCAAGGCTAATCCTAGCCCCATTTTGACAAAAGTCAACAATTCCAGCTATGCTGGCTATAGGTTGACATGACGATGCCAAAATTGGGTGTGGCAATTGTACACCTAAAATATATAGCATTTATGTACACATTTTTATATCTATTTTTGAGGATATTACACTTTAATGAAATGTATTCGTGTGCTTTTCTTTCAGGTGCAGTCAAATGGATAAAAAAATGGTGAAATGAATGAAAAATGATCAAATTTAGAGCAAAAATGAAGAAGATGTGAAAATGAACTGTGGTGCCTAAGTGCCCAAAATTGGAGTTTAAGTGCCAGGAGAATATAAAAGGCCGCACCTAAGCGCCGAATACCTCGCGCTTACGCACCAGAGGTAGTTATTTGAAAATTCAATGAATTTGGACGAATTTTTGAATAGGTGTTTGAAGCAACTCTTGGTGAAAGCGTGGATTATGGTTAATGGGGACGAAAATACATTCAAATGGCTATTGAAAGGAGGCAAATCTTGGAACATTCATTGAATGTGGACACATTTTTGAAGAGACACCAAAACACCTTTTGGAAAATTATAAAAGAAGGACTTGGATTGAATTGAATTGAGGTCACCGCCCCCTCTCTTTGAGACTTCTTTCTGCCACTCTCATCAGAGAATAATTAGGATACTTTTAGAGATAAGAAAGGGAGGAGTTGCAATTGTGTTAGAAGAGAGTATTGTAAGAGAAAGGAAGAGATTAGAATGAACTTCAAGAGTTTGGTGGAGAGGAATTTAAGATAAGTTTTTATCTTTGTGAATACATTTGGTTTTAATTTAGACTTCTTGTGTGTTTACATGATTTCTACTTTTAAACTTAAGTGTTGTTATGTTTTCTCCATGAATACTGAGTAATTTTATTTATCTTTTTCCTTAAATTGATAAGTAATTAAGTGTTGGGTGGAAGTTGTGTGAAGTATTGATCTTTATTATTCGAATAAGTTGTGATGATTTAATTCTTATACTTCATTTACTTCTTGATTTAGACAATTAAGATGATAATATTTGTTGTGAGAACATGTAAGATCCGAGATGACATTGTCTCAGTCAACCATGGTAAGAATCACATGAGATTGTACGGATGCGAATATAATTCATTTGGTTGAGTGTAAACAAATAGGGAAATAAACTTTGAAGGATGTAGATTTAGAGGACTTTAGAGTGACAGACAAAAGCCCCAAATTTGGTTTGATGTTAGCCCCCAAGTGGAGGGAGAATAGATAACTCTAAAGTGAGAGCTAGTATCTTCCCTATCTAGCCCGTCTTTAGGACTATTCAAACTTTAAATTAGCCAATGTTCTTTATAGCGTCTCTAATAATGATAAATAATAATATTGCTCTTATTTGACACAACACAATTTGAAAATTTTCACAACAAAATTCCTATACTTATTACTGATTCATGATAAGAAAAAAAATATTTTATTTATATTGCTTTCATCTTACGAAAATTTAATTAAATTTAGTTATTTGTTTACTTTATTTTCAATTATAAAAAATTACCCAAAAGAATTGAACTTTCATTCCTATTATATCATCTATAGTTTGAGTAAGAATAATTTTCAAAGTAGAATTTGTTATCTAATTTTTCCTTAAAGATTTGTAGTACTCCCCATGGGTTCGATATTCGGGGTTTAATAAAAAGTCCTATATTACTTGATAACGATATATATACTTTCGTAGTATCCTAATATTTAAATATAATAATTGCACTCTTATTTGCTTAGGAGTCAATTTTTTGGCGCCGTTGTAAAGGAAGAAATATGAGTAAAGAAAATTGAGAATATAACCACACATACAACGTAGTACTGTTGTAAAAGTCAGAATCAGCTATGCCAGTTTTGGGCGTATTCACGCCCAGACTAGCTAAGGGTGGTGTGGTTATGCCACTTTTGGGCTTGTCTATGATAGTTCAAGCCCTGATTTTGTGCCCTAAACGCGCACAAGAAAGTTTTTTTTGGATTCCTTAGACTATGAGAGGCTAAAAATAAATGGAATATAGTCCTCAAACATTAAAATGAATATCAAATATGTGCTTTATCAAAAATTAATGACAACCAAAGGTAACCACTTCTGGGTACGACTGCACCAAATCACACTCTAGTTTCGTGCTCGAATCGTCTGCTAAAGAGTTTTATGGATCCATTGAACTATGAGATGCTATTTATGAATGAAACATGACCCCCATAATATTCATATGGATATCATTCATGTGCTACATCCAAAAATTGATGCTAGTGGGACTTTTACTTATTATATCCCCATTCCTATTATATCCCCGATACTGCTTATATGCAACATTATAACAATGTCTCTGATTATATTTTCACTTATATTTCCTTAATTTGCAACATTAAAAATTTGATCCTGAAGAAAATAAGAATTTAACTCTTTAATTTATATATTGGGATACTACGCAAGTATACGTATCGTTATCAAGTAATATACAACTTTTTGGTTAAACATTGAATACCGAACCCACAGGAAAATTATGCAATATGCTCTATTGAACTGAAAACTTTCTATTTTAAAAAATACACTTAAACTAGAGATGTATTTGTAGTAATTAAAATTCAAATTTTTTGTGGTATTTTTGAAATTTTGACAAAACATTAATAATTTAAAAAGATAACTTGAGTTTATGTAAAAGAAAAACACTAAATTTGAAAATATCTTTCTCCTTATCATGAATCAGTAATAAGCATAAGAATTCTATTGTGGTAGTATGCAAATTGTGTTGTGCCAAATGAGGTCACCGCCCCCTCTCTTTGAGACTTCTTTCTGCCACTCTCATCAGAGAATAATTAGGATACTTTTAGAGATAAGAAAGGGAGGAGTTGCAATTGTGTTAGAAGAGAGTATTGTAAGAGAAAGGAAGAGATTAGAATGAACTTCAAGAGTTTGGTGGAGAGGAATTTAAGATAAGTTTTTATCTTTGTGAATACATTTGGTTTTAATTTAGACTTCTTGTGTGTTTACATGATTTCTACTTTTAAACTTAAGTGTTGTTATGTTTTCTCCATGAATACTGAGTAATTTTATTTATCTTTTTCCTTAAATTGATAAGTAATTAAGTGTTGGGTGGAAGTTGTGTGAAGTATTGATCTTTATTATTCGAATAAGTTGTGATGATTTAATTCTTATACTTCATTTACTTCTTGATTTAGACAATTAAGATGATAATATTTGTTGTGAGAACATGTAAGATCCGAGATGACATTGTCTCAGTCAACCATGGTAAGAATCACATGAGATTGTACGGATGCGAATATAATTCATTTGGTTGAGTGTAAACAAATAGGGAAATAAACTTTGAAGGATGTAGATTTAGAGGACTTTAGGACTTTAGAGTGACAGACGAGTGACAGACTAAAGCCCCAAATTTGGTTTGATGTTAGCCCCCAAGTGGAGGGAGAATAGATAACTCTAAAGTGAGAGCTAGTATCTTCCCTATCTAGCCCGTCTTTAGGACTATTCAAACTTTTAGGACTATTCAAACTTTAAATTCAAACTTTAAATTAGCCAATGTTCTTTATAGCGTCTCTAATAATGATAAATAATAATATTGCTCTTATTTGACACAACACAATTTGAAAATTTTCACAACAAAATTCCTATACTTATTACTGATTCATGATAAGAAAAAAAATATTTTATTTATATTGCTTTCATCTTACAAAAATTTAATTAAATTTAGTTATTTGTTTACTTTATTTTCAATTATAAAAAATTACCCAAAAGAATTGAACTTTCATTCCTATTATATCATCTATAGTTTGAGTAAGAATAATTTTCAAAGTAGAATTTGTTATCTAATTTTTCCTTAAAGATTTGTAGTACTCCCCATGGGTTCGATATTCGGGGTTTAATAAAAAGTCCTATATTACTTGATAACGATATATATACTTTCGTAGTATCCTAATATTTAAATATAATAATTGCACTCTTATTTGCTTAGGAGTCAATTTTTTGGCGCCGTTGTAAAGGAAGAAATATGAGTAAAGAAAATTGAGAATATAACCACACATACAACGTAGTACTGTTGTAAAAGTCAGAATCAGCTATGCCAGTTTTGGGCGTATTCACGCCCAGACTAGCTAAGGGTGGTGTGGTTATGCCACTTTTGGGCTTGTCTATGATAGTTCAAGCCCTGATTTTGTGCCCTAAACGCGCACAAGAAAGTTTTTTTTGGATTCCTT